GAAAGTGTGTGCTGTAAGAAGTGTTCCAGAAACAGCTCCAACCCTGCTCCAGGAACAAGCCAGAGTTGGGGTGGCATTGTACTAAAAACTCAGATCCAGCAAGAAGCCAGGGCTGTGTGGGGGGACCAGTGGTGGGGGACAGGTCTGGATCACACAGGGCAGGGGAGAGAACAGTGCAGAGCCACCCACCCCATTCACAGCTGGGCTGGTGGGGCAGCACCAGTGATGGGGGTACCTCAGCAAACAGCTGGGACTGAACCCAGGAACTGCAGACCTTTCACCCCACCACACCTCACTTTCTCCAGAAAACAAGGAATTCAAACTAGAAATCCTCTAAAAAACAAAACAAAACAAAAGCCAAATATAGAGCTGGTACCACTTTGTGGACTGTGGGTGTTTCACAGGCTGGTTGGTTCCCTGCATCCTTCCTCTTCAGGTGATGCTTTGAACCAATGCTGAGCAGGTTGGTCCATGTTCCCCCACCTCCTCCTTCCTTTAATTACAGCAGTATCTTAATGAGTTTTTTAGTAAGGCTTATTAGCTCAATGCTTTACATTCAAGAGGATGACTTCTTCCTGGCTCACAAATTCATTTTCAGTTGGGTTTCTCCTGCTTTGGAAGGGATGGGTGGAAGATGGATGGATGGATGATGGATGGATGGATGGATGGATGGATGGATGGATGGATGGATGGATGGATGGATGGATGGATGGTCTGCTCCTCATTCCAACCCCAAAATGAGTTAGGTGAAGCAAGATGTGACGATGACCAAGGTGGTTGGTGTAGCCTGGAGAAAGAAATAACCAGAATTCTGCAAAGAATAAAACAAAATGGAGATCATTGCTAGTGAGATGTGATCTTTAGGTAGTCACCAACTGCAAATAGAATCTTTAATAAGTTGTGTCATCCCATTGTGGTTTTGTTAAGGTTAGTTAGAGTAAGTTTGTAGTGTGTGGTTCAGCCACACAACCCCGTGCCCATCTCCCAGGGGTTCCTCCTCCATCGTGTCCCCCACCTGGGCACAGATGTGTCCAAGGAGCTGAGTCAGTGGATGCTGGGGAGCACCAGAACCTGCAACAACCACGGCAGGACCAGTGGAGCCCACTGGAATTGCTGTGTGACACCCACTGGCCCAGGGATGACACAGGACAGCCCCTGGAGCAGGCGGAGGGACTCCCTCACCAAGCAGGCTCGAGGGCCGTGGTCCCCCCTCACCCCGTGCAGCTGGCGGGGCTGGTTTGTTGACTCAAGTGCTGTTACCTCATTCGGGGATGTTGGTTTTAGGTCCCCGCCAGTGTGGGAACCGGATCCGAGCTGCTCGGCAGCGCTGTCAGCTGCGGCCAAGGAATGCGAGCGGCGGAGGGGGAGCTGCCAGGGGCATCCCTGCCTCACGCTGCCCCTCTCCAGCCCTGCAAAGGGCCAAGCCACCCAGTTCACCTCCTGAAGGGCTCCAGGCACTGCTCACCAGCTGCCCCTGTAGTGGCAAAAACCTCAGCGAGGTTTTAGCCTCGCATCCCATTTCCCTTCTCACCTACAAAATGATTTTCTTTTATCTCCCATGGGGTGGTAGGGGAAGAAACAGGTTATTGAGGGCTGGGGGAAAGCAGAGCTGCGGCAAAACCAGGGGAAGGAGGATGCAGGGAGGCAGCAGAGGCTTTTCCTTCCTCTGCCAAGCAGAAAGCGCTGCACAGACAGGCTCTGGTAAATGTCAGGACATTCCAAGCGTAGGAGCACAACCCAGCGTCCAGATGTGATAAAACCACCGAGCTACAGCCCCCTCCTCGCTGTCCTGCTGGGAACCAGCTTCGCAGGGAATGCTGCCCTCGGGCTGGGGCAGGTTTCCCATCCAGCTCTTTTCCCAGGGATGGCACAACCCCACGGAGGGGCCCCGGGGAGGCTGTCCCGGCGCAAAGCGAAAGGACAGGCAAGGGACAGCGGCCGTTCCCAGGGACGGCCGGGGCCTCCCGATGCTGAGCTCTGTACCCGGGGCCAGCCTTCCGCCCCGGCAAGCGCATCCTGTCTCCGCTGCTGCTTCCCAAATGTTCAGATAAGATGGGGTGAGATTAGGTGCGTCCCTGGGCCTGGCAGGTCCCATCCCAGCCGGGCAGCAAGTGGGGTGCTCCAGCCACCAGTGGTGTTGGGATGGGAAGGGAAGGTTTGGGGTGATGGAACAGGCAGGAGCAGAGCCTTTCCCACCTCATTTCAGCAGGGATCAAGGACTTTTACACACAGGATCACCTGTGTCATAAAAGACTTGTGCACACAGGAGCTGTAAATAAAATACAGCGCCTCTCACATAGGACCTGAGAGGGCCAGGTCTGCGCACAGAATCATGGAAGGACTTAGGTTGGAAAAGCCTACTAAGATCATCAAGTTCAACCATTTACCCAGCACTGACAAAACCACCCTTAACCTGTGTCCCCCAAGTGCCACATCCACACATCAGGATCTGTGCAGGCAGGAGGGAGCACTTTACTGTGCTCCTAAATGCTACAAAACATCGAGCAAAAAACCTGAGGAACACCCCAGAGGGAGCGTGGGCTCCAACCACCCCTCTCCCACCTCTTCAGGAATGCTTTGGGTTGCCCAGAGAAGCTGTGGTTTCCCATCCCTGGACGTGTTGAAGGCCAGGGTTAGAGCAATCTGGTCTGTGGAAGGCGTCCCTGCCCACGGCAGGGAGTGGAACTGGATGATGTTTTGGGTCCCTTCTAACCCAAACCACTCCGTGATTCATTCTGTGATTCTATACAAAAGCAAGACACACTCTCTTGCTCTTCCCTGCAGAGCTGTGGGGAAGTTTTAGGCAGGACAGGGAGCTGTGTTGGTGGGGACAGAGGCCAGAAAGGCTGGAGATGGGGAACTGTGGGGTTGCACAGCCCTGCCCTGCTCCCGCTGTGGCCCCCTGGCCTCGCCAGCCCCCCCGCCCTGCTTCCCTCAGGGACCTGCTATTCCTGGAACACCGAAAGCTGTGGCTCACAGATAAGGCTGGTGCAGGGCCCCGGTGAGGAACGGCAGCCAAGAGCTCGGCTCCTTGTAAAGAAACTCCTTTTAAACTTTTCCTGTTCCCCGGGAGGGCCGGCGGCAGCCGGGCAGTGCACAGGGAGGAGGGAAGATCGCAGAATCCATCTGGTTGGAAAAGACCTCTGAGATCAGCTATGGGTCCAGCCTATGGCCCAACACCACCTTGTCCACCAAATCATGGCAGGGAGGGGCACCATAAGCCTGGCACCATATCCAGTCTTAAAGGGGTCATTCTGTCAGGATGGGACATCCTGCACCCCTGGCGATGGGGCAGGGTGATCCTGGGCAGTCCCTGGCTGGGGGAGCAGTGCTGACCCTTGCTGTCACTGCAGGATGAGTGGATGGCTGCCAGCAAGAACAACTCCTTCTTTGAGAGCTTCTGCTCCACGGCCCAGCAGGCGTTTGATGCCAGCAGGGACTGGTGCACGGTGATACTGACGGCCTGTGAGAGACCCTCCCGCCAATGGGCCGTGAGGGTGGTCCTGCACGGTGAGTATGATCCCATCACTGGCACTGGGCACCCTGCAGCTGGAGGCCTGGCAGAGCCTTCACATCCGCTAGAGCTTGGCCCAAGGGCTCTGTTCTGCCCCATCCCAGCGGTCTGGGAGAGGAAGGATCTCAGAAATGAGCTCTGCACCCCAAGGAATGCACCAGATCCCTCTGCCCTGTTGGGCCATGTCCAGTCCATGTGCCTCAGTCTCCAGGAGGAAGAATTCTTCCCAGTGCCCAGTTTAAATCCTTCTCCAAAGACCACAGAGAGGAGGTTCTTGCCCATGTCAGAGCCCTGCTGGGATACCCAGCTCAGCCTGGGTGTGCTCAAACACTGCTTTAGGATCAGGGTGCCTGGGAGATGCAGACATCCTGCTGCCCTAGCATGAGGGGGAGGAAGGCCTGAGCTCCATCTGCTCTTACTCATCATCAGAGCAGGAGCTGGGTGGGTGATCCAAACTCCACATCCAAGCTCAGGGAAAACACCCAGGCACTGGAGACTAATCCTTGAGGAGACAGGTACAGCCCCTCACTGGGCTTACTTATAAATCATCCACTGGAGATGGATGGTGGGGCCTGGAGGCTCTGGGGCTGTCCCACTTCCAGAGGAGATCCTGGCTCCTGGTCTGGCTGTGAAGCACCTACAAGGGTTGGCTTCATCCCCACACATCTTCATCCACCTCCCCCAGAAACTGGGTCACCCCTCTGACAAGGGGATAGTGGCACAAACTGTCCCCTGTCCACACCTTGTGCTCACTGAAGCCTTTTCCTTCCCCCAGTTCCCCTGGACTCTGGAGAAGTCCTCATGGGGCTGAAGGAGAAGAAGGACAGGTTAGAGGAGGTAAGCGGGTCCCTGGTCACGGCACAGCTGCCCCAGGGATGGTGGGTGGGTGGCACAGGAGCCTGACCTGTCCCTTCTGCGGCAGCTTGGCATCGTCAACATCACCTCTGACAAAATGGTGGAGGACATGACCATCAAGGACGAGTTCAGCACGCCCCTGATCATCACCATCATCACCCTGGCCGGCTCCCTGCTGCTCGTCGCGGCCATCTACGGCTGCCACCAGCGCCTCTCCCAAAAGAAGGACCAGGTAAGGTGGCAGGAGGGGGGGACAGGTGTGCCAACACCTTTTCCATCCCAGAAGCATCTTCAGGAGATGAGGATCATCAGTGTTGCTGTCTCTGCTGGCAGAGATATCCTGGTTTCCCCAGTGGGCATCACCCTGGATTGTAATTTTGACAAGAAAGGCTTTCTCAATCCAAAACCTCATTCCAAAAACAAGCTTTAGCCCTCAAAAAATTTCTTGAAATACTTTTACAAGCAGTGGAGCTGGGGTGGGTGCCAGGCAGCCCCAAGCTGTGTGCAGAGAAGGAGGAGGGTGTCAGCAGGAGGGGCATCAACACTGCAGGGCTCAGCCTTTGCTAGAGCTGGGCCAGGGCCAAATTTCAGAGCAGCAGCAGCAGGATTTAAGGAAGAACCAACACAGAAAGAGAAAATAATGTGATTTTTATCTCAGGAAGCAATCCTAGGCGATTTTAGTGTAGCATCCACCTGCAAGGACTGGCCATTCCCACACCCTGGGGCACTGAGGTTTGCACTGGTCCCAGCTGCTGTTCCTGAGGACTTAGCTCTAGGGCAGAAATAGAAAAGGAAAATAGTTATGAAATCAGATTATGCAATCAGGGTAAATCACCCTCCTGATGGAGAAGCAAACCTACTTCACTCCTACTTCAAATCACTTTCCTCTGGACCAGCTCATCCTTTCTCAGCGACCCCAACCTCTGAACCACAGGAAAACAAGGGATAAAACTTTAAATATTTACAGTGCAAGGTAGGTGAACACAGCAGGGAGGGAAGAGCAAATTAATTTCCCTGTCAGACTTGTTTGTACTTACCAGGCTTGATTTTTTGGGAAGAAATAGGGGAAGAGGCAAGACCTCAATAAATATTTGACCTGCACTGTGGTCCTCTTGGAGCTTCCAGGTTTTCATCATCCCTTGCATGAAATCTCCCTGGCTGGCATGAAAAACATCCCAACAGGGACAGATAGCAGCATAACATGCCCCATGTTGTTCAGAAAACAGGTAGAAATAGGGTATTTTAGTGATGGGAACATGTGTCCCTAAAATAACCTGGTGCAGAGCAATAGGTACCAGTCCAACTTGGATGTTCCAGAGGTAAATTCCCACCAGACATGGGGTAAAATAGCAAAATCAAAGCAAGGGATGCTATTTCCAAAAATCAAATACATTCCTCTTTCCTGCCTTTGTTTTTGGGTGGTTTCTTTTGTTCTCCTTCTGTTTCGTTTCCAAAAATGACTTGAAAGTTTGTTTTTTTTTTTTTCCTATTTTATTTTTTTTTTCTCTCCAACCCTCCTCATCCCCCACCTCCCTCCCTGTTGTTTTATCTTGGAAATACCCAGAACATCCACCCTGATGTCCCCGGGTTTGATGATGGACATGTGGCCCTGATCTTTAATGTGAGTTCCAACACAGGGATCGGAGGGGCGGGCGCCGCATCCGTAACACCCCCAGCTCTCACCTCCAGTGCTTGGTAGGGCCCAGTAGCTTTTAACAGGACTAAAGCCCAGCTTTACAGCCCCTTTCCTCTTGCTGCATGGCTGGAAGGTGCCTTGCCATGGTGGGAGACCAGCAATCCCACAGGGAAGCAGCCCTTGGGAGAGCCCCAGGTGTGTTCTTTGCTTTTTGAGCATCCCACGATCCCCACCCTGCCACAGGGGAGTGACACAGGGGACTCCCAGCAGCGCCTTTGCAGCTCCTCTGCCAGCACCAAGCCCTGCAGTTTTGCTTCTCCATCCCTCTCCTTCTCCATGGATTCCCTCCCACGCCTGTCTCCTGACATTTATAGGAGCACTGTAATAGAGCAAGCTGTGAATCCAGGCAGATTTTAACAGGGCTCCCCAAAAAGGGCTGAGCAAGGACTGCAGTTCCCCACTGAATCCTTCCAGGGAAGGATAGGGATGAAGGACCCACCAAGAGCCCTGTTATTCCCAAAAAGGGCTGAGCAACCCACTGAATCCCTCTAGGGAAGGATGGGGATGCAGAAGCCCAAGTGAATTCAAAATTAGGACAGGCTGGGGTTCTGCCAAGGGATGAAGGGCTGAGCTGGAGCTGGAAGCACATCACACCAAAGGACCAGGGTGATAAAGTGTCTGATTCCATCCTTCCCTGCCTGGTTTCCACTGAAAGTTCCAGAATGAGGAAGGATAATGCTCAAGATCTGGCAGATGGGAGCTGCCCCTGAATAAAGGAGAAGAATAATAAAGCAACTAGAAAAAGGACAGGGGTGGATAGAAAGGGGAGGGGAAGAGCAGATTTGAGGTAGGGAGGCAGGAGTTGGGATGTAGTGTTGCTCAACCTCTTCCCAAGGTCCTGGATGGAACAAACTGAAGCTGGCAGCTGCTCCTGGAGGTTTTCCTGTCTCTGGCTGCTCCCTCCTCCTTCCCATCATCAGCAGAGTCTTCCTCTTGCCAGCTCCATGCTATCCCCTCGCTGCCCCCTGCCTCGACCTGACCATGAAAGTCTCTATATGTAGCTATGTAACTCTATATGGGGCAGCTGTCACAGCTGGCTGGGAGCTGACAGCCCTGAGGTGACACTTGCAGCATGGCCAAGGTGTTGTTCAGTGGGGTTTATGGCTTTCTTTCCTCATAGCAGCGCCTGACCGAGGAGATGCAGACCATGGAGAATGGCTACCACGACAACCCCACGCTGGAGGTGATGGAGACCTCCTCTGAAATGCAGGAGAAGAAGGTGAACCTCAATGGTGAGCTGGGGGACAGCTGGATCGTTCCTCTGGACACCCTCATGAAGGAGGACCTGGAGGAAGAGGAGGACACGCATTTATAGGATGCAGAACTTGATCAAGAGAAAAACAACCACCCCCCGCAAAAAAAACCCCATAAACCCTACACACACGCACACAGAGCTCCAAAATAAGGCAAAATTCCCCCCAAAAAGCAGAAAATCCCTTAATGAACTAATTGTGCCACCACATGGGGTGCAGGATGGAAGAGAAAAGGACATGAGAAGACACCTCTGGGGCACAACACCACGCGCCACTTTGGTGGCCACATCTGGCCAAGCATCCTCCAACCCCCATCCACCTCCCATGCCAGACCTGACCAGCCATGGGCAAACAGGGTGGCTCTGCTCCTGAAGAGCTGCTGGTGTCTCCTCCAAGCATGTCCCCTCCCATCCCACATCTGACCACGCCAGCAACATCCTCCAGCCACTGAGAGACTCAAAAATCAAGAGAAATAAAATAAATAGGACAGGAGATGGAGTGCATCTGACAGCAAAGCAGCACCTGGTAATTACAGCTCGACAAATCCTCTGGCCCACGCTGTTTAGTCATCACCCTGCCCTCCCTGACACCCAGGTAGTGAATGAAGAAAGCTGGAACTGCCTGTTCCTTTTTAATCCAGTTTCCAGCCTCTCCCCAGAGCTGAAACGCACAAGAGCCCCTCGTTGTGCCATGGGCAAATGGATGCATCCAGACCCAGTGGGATGGCAGGGATGCAGCAGTGCCAAGTGATGCTCAGCCCCTGTGCCAAGGGCTGAGGAACAGATCCTGCACCCACCTGGAGACCGAGAGAGGTGCAGCAGCTTCTTGTTTTGAAAGGATGAGATGGAGGGAGAGGAAAAGGAGGAATTCCTTGAGTTCATCCCTCTTTAGGAAGGGTGTGGACAGCAAGAGCGATGCCTGGTCTCTAGCTCAGGTGTGATGTTGGGGGTTTTGTGGTGCAGGAGCCCAGCTCTGGTGCTGCATTTCCCTCTGGAAGGATCACTTGCCTTCCAGGAATTACACAGCAGCATCTCACAGCCCTCAGCCGTCCTCCACGAGACTGTGGGACACAGGCACCACGATGGTTTGTGATTTTTGAGGGCACATTTTCCTGCATGAGCAGCAGAAGAGGTAGAAGAGCAGCAGAACGTGAGCCAGGGAGCTCAGTGGCATTCAGGTGGCCTCGGTGTTTCACACCCTCAAGGTTTAAAAGCTCAGCCTCAAGCTCTTCTTCGTAAGCCACTAAAATAACAGAGACCTGCAAAGCAACTTCCAGCTCAGCAGTGAAGCTGGGGCTGAGCTTTGTCCTGCAGCCCTTGGTCTGTCACCCAGGCCTCCCTTTGCTGAAGCCTTTCAAGGGGAGAAGAAAAACATGGCTGGACTGAGGCCATTTCTGGATTTTGACTCCCCAGCACAGCTCCTGAATGGCTCTGAAAGGCTGGGGAGAGTTTCATGCCTTTGCTCTGGTGAAGTAGCTCAGTCCTGGCAGAGGCAGGGATCATCCTCCAGCTGGGGTGCGCCCTCCAGCACACGAGGAGCAGAAGGTGACTTGGCTGAGTCCCTCTCCCAGCATGAGGATGGTGCTTGTCCCAAACCCTCTGCAAGCCAGAGGAGCTGCAGATCAGAGCGATGCCCAAACACAGCCCTGCTCCTCTGCCTGCCATAAACCAAGGCACAATGGGGAGATTTCCTCTGGGCTCTGCCACCAAGTCAACCCGACTGGGATCTGCTCCCACGGCTGCCCTGAATGAGGGCAAAAGCAGAGCCAAGCAATGGGAAGCTTGGGGAAACCCTGGTGGAGTTGGGAGTACTCAGGAAGGAGGGGATTTGGGGTGTTTTGCTCAGCCCCAGGATAGGAACTGGCAGAAGATACAAGTGGCTCTTCCCCCTTCTGTCCTGCACTGAAGGGCAGAGTCTGAAGTGTTCAAGCCTTTCTATTTTTGTATGTAAATATTCCTGCTATTCATTAGCAATGTATTCAGCACACTTCACTTACTTGTGCACTGCACTGTGGGGAAGTAATTTTGGAGGGGAGGGGAAATAACAAATAAAATAAATTTTAAAAAATTTAAATCTGAAAAAATAAAAAAAAAAAAGGCAAGAAAATGCTAAAGGCCAGCCTGGTAGGAGATAAAAAATTGACATGAAGCAGAAAAACACCTCTTGCCCAAGGTAACTTTGTGCCACAGCTTTGTCCCTGTTCTGGCAGCATCAAGTTCAGCTCTTTAACATGGCCACGAGTCTCAGAGGATGGACCTCAGCACCCACAACTGCTCCTGTGAGCATTGTGGCCTCCCAGCTGCCCTGACAGACAAGCAGCAGGCCCATTCCTCACATTTCTGTCCTTCCCAGAAAACAAACACAGGGCAGCAGGAACGCTGTGGCCACCAGGACTGGAGTTGCCACGAGGACATCCCTGGCAGGGCATCTCCAGGCTTTGGCATGTGCCTAAAGATTCCCCCTTCCCAGCAAAGAGATGCCAAAGTGCTTTAATGAGTCAGGTCCAAAGACTTTCCAAGAGAATCCTACAGAGGCTTGAGATCAAGCAACCTTAAATCTTTCCAAGCAGAGACCAGTGAGGATATTAACTGCTCAGCAAGTGCTTATAGTGATTTATATTTGAATAGGAATTGTACATTTATTTATTTTTCCAGACACCATATTTTTAAACCACTAATATTTTATAGTAGATTTTCCTTCCCCTATTTAAAAGAACTATTTCCACAGGAAAAGAAAACAGTACTTTTTGTTTTTTTTAAATGTTGAGAACATTCTTTTTTTGGAAAAAAAAAAAAATCAGGTAGGAAATGCAGCAATGAGCATCTTTGGCCTTAACCCTTCCCTTCGTAGAGTGTAGCCATAATTGTTAGACCAAAAACAATAAATAAAAAAATAAGATTTACCAAGGCATTTCCTTCCTCCCTGCCCCTCCTCCCTTCCCTGTGCTCCTCCTCTCTGCCCCAAACCAGCTTTAACATCCCACACATTGTACAAAGAGATTCCTGCTCTTACCTTTCGGCGAGAGCTTTACAAGCAGCTCAGATGTCCTTGCAAGAGACTTTTCTATTTTCAGATTCAAGAGGAAACGTGTAAATACTTTAGGAGCATTTTATCTCCCACTCACAGTGCCGTGACCCAGCTGATGAGGTTGATACTGGGACTGCTGCCTACAGAAGACACACAGAAGTCATAATCCATGAGGGACTGGTGAAGGAAAACCTAATTCCCCAGGTGGTTACCTGTTGAACCTTGCACATAGAGTAGAGCTCTTAAATACTGTGTGTAGCAGCACCTCTCACAGGGACAGGAGTCTGATTTACACTGGAATTTACTGAGGAACTGGATTGTAAGAGATTATTCTTGCATTTTCCTACAAATATATTTTGAGAGCATCATGTATTTCTGTCAATAAACATTCTTATGTAAAAGATTCGTGTCTTTGGATGAGTCAGGAGGGGTGGGCAGGTCAGAGGACAAGTTCCAGGGCCACAACTTCCTGCTCTGGAGAGGCTCCATGGGAAAACACTGGAACAGCTGGAACAAAACCAACCCAGACCTTCAAGGTAGCCAGCCATGGAAAAGCCTGTATTTTTCCTGTGCAGAAGGAAGCATTATAGTGGTGGAAAACCTATTAAATGTAAAAATCAGAGGATTCAGAGGGGTGGGAAGCTGAGGTGATGTTAGGGCACCCCCACCACAGCCTGGGCACTTGCCTGAGCTCTTGGTGCCTTCAGGCTCTCACAGGAAAAGGCAACTCACCCTTATTTCTGCATTTCACCCTTATTTCTCCATTTCAGCCTCGTTTATTTCTGCATTTCATCCTAACTCACTCTGGTCTGCAGAGTGCAGCCCCTCCTCAGGTCAGGCTGTGGAGGAGGGAATCAAACCTCACACATAAAGCAGGAGAGGCATCACCCAAGGGTACCAGAGGGGCAGCAGCAGCGTGGGCAGTTCAGCAACTCCATTGGCCTTCAAGCACCCAAAATAAAACATTTTGCTCCAGGTTAAGTTTCTGCTTATGTAAAGGAAAAAAAAAAGTAATTTGTTGAAGTCAGATATTAAAAATCAGTGGTTTGCTGCAGCCTGTGTTCTAACTCTGTGCTTCTCCCCAGAAAAAGTTCCTGTGAATGTGTGGAACATGCTGGATTTATGGGATACTGACTGAGCTCATCAGTGAGGTCAGGCAACAGGGCCAGATGTAATGTGCCACTAGTTCCACAATTTCTCTACCACTAAAAGACCTTCACAGGCATTTTTCCACTCTCTGAAGCGATGTGAGAACAAACAGATCTTAAATCAACACCCTTGCTAGCATATACATTTTTATTAAGAAAAAAATGAACAAAATACATTCTCTCCTTATGTACATTACATACAACATAACTACATTTGTAGATATTCCTTGTGTCACTCATTCATTTATGTACAGCATGGGGCTCACACACCAACCCAGAAATCATCAAAGATGATTTATGCCAAGGAAGAAAATTAACACTCCAGGCTGAACAAAGATCATCCATAAAGAAAAGGGTGGGAAGGGGAATCACCAGAGTCCAGGGAAGATGCCTGTAACCACCATGGGCTCAGCACAGGAGCAGTCAGTATTTGACCTGCCTATTCAAACACATGAGCAGTTCACAGCTTTCATCACCCCATGGATGCTTCTTTCCAGCCCAGGGCTGTCCACACCTCTCAGCTCAGCTCTCCTGTGCTCAGGTGTCCCAGACAACAACTGCAGGACAGACACCAAAGGGAATCCAGAGCCTGCAGGATTGCTGGGGAGGTGCAAACACTTCAAGCTGAGTGCCAGAACAGGACAGAGAGGCCAAATTGTGGACAGGGGGTGGACACTCACACTGCCAGCACTAGGGAAGGAGAACCAGCTTCTGGGGACCACACTGGGGTGTAGAGGACAGATAATGAACACTGAAGGTCCAGACAAACAAACCATCACACACTACAGTGATACCATCAGAGTAGAGGCAACAGCTCAACAAACAGCTCCAAACCCCACCCCAATCAGGTGATGGTGCCCAGCCAGCTCACTGGTGTTTGACCCCAAGCTACCAAGGTCCTGTCCACACCACCAACTCCCCTAAAAGGGCAACTGCCCCTAAAAGGGGCAACTGCAGCAGTTTCAAAGGGCAAACATTTAACGAGGCTCAACACTCCCAAAATGAGACACGCTGCATCTCAGCATCTGAATGCACAACATGTACAACACCACCAGCCCACAAGGATGGGAATGTCACCTCCAATTAACTGGGAATGAGCCCACAGACTTTCAATTTCTGTCCCTCAGCAAAGTGGTCTGCGTGGTTCGGGGCCTCCAACTCGCAAGACTCCCATGAACACATTTGTTTGTATAATTAAGCTCTTTTCTCTGGCTTATGGTCTCCCCAGCACCCCCTCATTTCCTGCTGTGGAGGAGGGAGTGCTGGAAGGCAGCAGAAAATACAGCTTTAGCAAATGGCAACAGCTACTAATAATGAGGGGTTTGTTTTCTTTTCCACTAGCCTGCACAGCAGCTTCTGAAGTGAAGAGTGTTTTGCACATCAAAACATCAACGGGAGGGACAGGAATGAGGAGGGAGAGATGAAGACAATATTCACCCTGCACTGCTAGTTGGCATTCCTGATGACCACAGCTGACAGGAGGGGAAAACAAGTCAGCAGCACAGTAGTTCTCCTCCATTTTCCCCTTTTAAGAACTGAGTTTTTGTCAAAACCTCAAAAAAAAAAAAAAAGCACTTTTCAGCCTTGAAGTGGCTTTTTTAATGAACAGACCCTGTTCACACACCGCAGCACTTCTCTATTTAGTGAAACACCGAGTAATTGATTGAATCCCTTGGTTACTAAATCAGGATATTTAAAGCATATTTTCCTATCATTGGGGAGTAAAACCTATCCATTGCTATTTGGGATGTGGAGATGACTGCAACCACTAGAGCCACTATTATGGTCTAGCCTCCCCACCATCATATTAATTAAAAAGCACCTAATTTCCTTTAATCAAACTGGCAGATTTCATCAGAAAGCTCAAAACATTTTTAGGTTTTAACAATCCCTTAGGGCAGCCAGACCTGATCCAAAAGCCAATGGGGCTGCACCAGCTCAGGTCTGTTTGAGCAGGGTTTAGCCCAACTGGCTTCCTCACAATTGCTGTGGAGAGAATAGAATTTGTATTATTCTCTCTGCTGTCTGGGGTGGGAAGGGGCTGAAGCTTGAGGTGAAGCTCCAGGACTAGAAGATCCTGATATTGCATCAC